TCCAACAGGCCATTTTTTGAAGTTCAAGGTTTTGCTCTATGATTGAAGCAGTTGTCCTTATCTTCTAACAGGAAAATGTTAGCAAGTAGTCCTCATTGCTACTGGCATTCATGCTGTGAACTTGAAGGGACCTGCCTAAGGAGGAATAGATACTGTGGACAGCACAGAGGAGAGATGGAAAGAAACTGGGTCATTATGACATTGTTAAGCTGCTAGATCAATGGTGGAGCCTGCCCAACAGCTGGACTCTTCATTAATGTGAGCCACTACTCGTCTTTATTATTTAAGCTAGTTCAAGATGGTTTGCTTGCAAGTTTTGTCTAATACCATATTAAAACAGGTATCGCTACCTTCTCAAGAGCACAGGATTTACTGTAAAGCTATAATGCTTAAGTTTCAAGGCCTTCACTTGCTCAGGCCTCTTCCAAACTTTCTCCTTAATTTCACACTTGCAATTTTATATTCTTTTCCTTAAAGAGGACTTTCCAAATTATGGAAGCTTCAGGCTTCACAAAACCTGCATCTACCATCAGATGTTCTAGGGAGAAAACACCCACCTTTCTCTTTAATTCCTTCAATCCACAAGTTCCTAGGAAAGGAGTGCCTTACCTAATTGGTAAATAGCTGGAAGGGTCACTGCATACATGTGGCCTGGCCTCTCTCATTGAGATCTGCTTGCTCACAGTGATAAGCTCACTGCAGCAAGCCCTGGGTGACAAGAGTGACAGGGGAAGTAGTTGCTGCCTTTGACCACATCTTCCAAACCTGGCACTTGTCCAACAAAGTTTAAAAACACTGTGTTCTCACGATGGCTATGAAGACTCTGAAGAAAGCATCACGAAGGACTGGCTCTGGGAGATGTGGAGAGAAGGCAGTCAAGGACTGGAGCCTTTTGTAAGTACTTGCGCCTGCTACTCCCAGCCCAGCCTCACCCTCCCCTGTTCACTCTCCCCATGTTAGAAACTGGCTGTGCCCCTGGGAAGCAGTTGGCATCTGTCAAGGGACTGACTGCATGAATACATTCCAGAGGAGAAAGACTCGGGATCCCATATGGGCCTCAGGTCTAAGTGTTTTCTCTATTCCAGTTTACTCAGCAGTAAAGCTGATATTGATCCCCATCTAATGCCTGTTTATGTTTCTCAGTTGTTTTCACCTCGGAAGGTGAGGAGACTGCTTATCACCCCGAAATGACAACAGAAGTCAGCAGTAGCAATTCTAGTAATAATCTATGTATAAAAAGTACTACATGACCAACTGAAACTACCAAGTAAATCGTAAGTGCTATGAAAGAAACACATGTGGTAAAATACAAATTCCTGATCTCAGGGAGTCTCCAACTGAAAAAGAAAAGAGTACTGACATAAATATCTATCAACTTATGAAGCCAATCACAATTCAGACATATTTTATATATGTTCAGTTATTAGATTGAACCGTATGAAATCGCCAATTTTGTAGGTTAAAAAGTAATCAGACATCAACACTTTCACATGGCCAACCTATTATTACCAACATCCAGCATATTCACAATTATCTGACTTGAATTGGAAGCTGGTCCCATCACACTGCAGATTATCTGGCTCCTGGTTCTCCTCACCCCTTGGAGATTTTTCACACCTGGCTCACTGTCACTTTTTCTAATGTGATTCTCAATATTCTTGGTGATTGCAATATCCACAAAAAACAATCCTCTTCATACTCTGGTTTCTTGACTTCTTCTCTTGCAATGTTCCTGGCCTCTATTTTACCTCAAATACCCAATTCCACATTTCTATCTTAGACATTGGAAATTTTACTTCATTTTGCTTATAAATACCACTGTCTTTTGATTCTTCCTCACTGGCACATCTTGAAGATTCTCTGTTGGTTTCTTCTCATCAACTGATTTCTATATGTGGGGTGGCTCAGGCCCAGTCTTCAGATGTCTTCTTCTTTTCCTATGCTCACTCCTGTGTGCTCTCATCCAATATCATGATATTAATGCCTTCTCTAGTTTGATGACCCTCAAATTCATGTCACCAGCTCAGACCTGTTCCCTGAACTCAGACTTATATCTATTTGTCTTCTCAACATCATCTACTTGGGATATGTAATAGGCATCTTAAGCTTATCATGCCTAAAAATGAACTATTTTCTCTTTCCCAATCCACATGGTCCCTCTCTCACTAAATGGCAATTTCATTTTCTAGTTTGCTTAGACCAAAGATCTTATAGTTAATTACCTTTGACTTTTCTCTTTCTTACCATATACCCAGTACACCAGCAAATCCTTTTGGCTCTACCTTCAAAATATATGGAGAATCTGATCATTTCTTACCAGTTCCACTTCTGCCTTGGTCCAGGTTACTCTCATCTGGATTATTGTAATAGTCTTGTAACTGGTATCCCTGCTTTTCCCTATCATCAAATCTTCACATAAATCAGATCATGTCACTCCTCTCCTCAAAATCCTCCAATGACTTCCTATCTCACTCAGAATGAAAGCCAGTGTTCTTACCATGGCTTATAAGGCCACTTAGGATCTGGCTAACTTGCCACTTCTCTGATCTCATACCCTTCCAGCTTTGCCTTTTTTCATGATGCTCTAGCCACATTCGTCTTCTTTACAGACTTCAAACATGTCAATTAGGCTTCACTTGAAAAACTTAGTACTAACTGCTCCCTCTGTGTAGAATGTTCTTTCACAGAGAGAAATGAGGTTCATGCAGATGCTCAGACAGTCCTTTATTAGGGAGCCTTCCTACAGCACCATATGTAAGACTCTACAGGTATTCCTTATCCTCCTTTTTCCCCACTTAACCGGACTCCAAACATCATCCCCACCTGCTGTTATACCTGTTTTCTTTTTGTTTAGCATCTGTCTCCTAAGGGCAGGGATTTTCTTTTGTTTAACTGCTTAGTCTCAGCACCTAGAACAGTGTCTAACACATCATAGCACTCAATAACAAATAAATATTTGTTGAATAAACTAAAGGAACTGCATTAACATCATATGCCAAGTGGTGTCTAAAATAACATAAGGAATCACCAAATTACAAATGGATTTTTTCCAGAAGTTTTTAAGTTGGGTGTTTGGAAATCAATATGCATTTTCCATACAAATATGAAGGAAGTGCTGTTATTATTCCCATCTATGGTTGAGAAATCTGAGACTTAGGGTAAGTAACTATGCTTAGGTTTTCTGATTTCAGTACACCTAACCACTACACTAAATTCCCAGGCCAGATTGCAAAACCATATGTAAGTCCATCATTCTGATATATTCTATAAAAAAGAACTATAATGGAAGACACCTATCTTATACACAAACAGCTGTATCTAGAGCCTGGATTGACCTCCTAGCTCATTCAGTTACCCCTATTCCTTGATGGTCTTTGCTTTCATCAGCCGATATGCTTTCTTCCCATCCATCAGCCTCACTGCTTTCTTGCCATCCTCCCCTCCCCAGCTTTGATTCCATGTTCCATCATTTTACTACTCACTTGCCAATATATGAGATGATTTTGCTTTTTGTTCTTTTATTACCTGTCCTGTAAAACCCCAACCCTGGAGGAATACAAACAACTATCTTCTGTACACACACACCTATGCTGCTGAGTTCTGCTCAACTGATTAATTATCATTATAAAAATCTTGGTCCTTAATACTATGTAGCAAATCTATGATTCTCATGCACTTTATCTGTCCCTTAACACTCTTTCAAAACCCTCTTCCCAAAACTTTGATCATCTACTGTTTCTTGCATTACTCTTAGATTACCTTATCTTCTTCATGGAGGAAATTTCAGAAAGGAACGACCTCAATTCTCTGCCACCAAATCTACGTACAGATCCGTACCTATCCCTAACCTTTCTACTTCTGCCACAATGGAGAGTCTGTCCCTCCTACTTAAGTCCAATCTCCTCACTTGTCTTATAGGTTCTCACTTCTACTTCCTTTTCAGGATACCACCCTATAAATTATGCCTTCTCTCTTGCATTTCTAACCTCTTCTTCTCTCTTGACTTCTTGACATTAGCATTAAAAGTACTCAGATCTCCTCTATGTTAAGAATAAAGTCTCCCTGGGGCGCCTGGGTGGCTCAGATGGTTAAGCGTCTGCCTTCGGCTCAGGTCATGATCCCAGGGTCCTGGGATCGAGTCCCACATCAGGCTCCCTGCTCCTTGGGAGCCTGCTTCTCCCTCTGCCTCTCTCTCTCTCTCTCTCTCTCTCTCTGTCTCTCATGAATAAATAAATAAAATCTTTAAAAAAAAAAAAAGAATAAAGTCTCCCTTAAATTCCGTTGCTAATCTCATTCTCTGCCATTCATTGCCAAAGTCCTCAAAAGAGTACTACACTGGAAATTCCCAGATATTGACCTATGCACTAGTATCACATCATCAGGAGTTCCCATGCATCTGTGGTAAAATAAGAAACAATAAGTTAATGCTACCCACGTTTACCCATTTAGCAAGTTCCAGATATATATGTTGAAGTTACCAATTGTCTTCTGAGGACTGTCTCACATTTTCCAAATGTGTAAAATTTTAGATTTATCTTTTTTTTTTTTTTAAGATTTTATTTATTTATTTGAGAAAGAGAGAATGAGAGACAGAGAAGAGGGCAGAGGGAGAAGCAGACCGCCTGCTGAGCAGGGAGCCCGATGCGAGACTTGATCCCGGGACTCCAGGATCATGACCTGAGCCGAAGGCAGTCGCTTAACCAACTGAGCCACCCAGGTGCCCTGGATTTATCTTTTAAAAACACTTCATTTGTGCTTCAACTTTCTATCTTCCTTAGCTGTGTGCTAATTTCTATAATATATATTCCAAGAGGGAGTAGTTTCTGCATTTTTGATGTTTTTCTCTATATGGTATATATTTCTTTTATGGTGAGTATATTGGAAGATGGTAAAGAAATTAGCAGTCTTTCATAAACTCTGAAGGAGGCAATTCTATATAGGTAAGAGGCATTACTCACTAAGGATCAGTTAACTCTGTAAGTTATCTTTTTTTTGGGGGGGGGTTTCTAAATGATTCACTGCATTTTGCAGAATATATGGTCTTTGTTCCTTTTTTTTAATTTTTGGACTCTAACTTTATGGCTAAGTAGGAATCCAGTTTTTGCATGTACCAAATGTCTGAAAGAGTATCAGTTCTCTTATGTAAAGTGTTATTCACATATCCTGAAGTTTATATTTTATGATTATGCCATTCAATTCTGAGTTTTGTCTGCTCAATTTATTAAATATTTAGAGCTATATGCTATGGTAGATTTTCCAGTTTCTCTACATAGTTCTCAATTTTTGCTTGTATATTTTGATGTTATTAGATGTGTACAAGTTTAGAATTGTTTTATCTTCAAAGTGAAATGACTTTTTATCATTATATAGTAACCTGATTTATATAGTAACTTCTTTTGAATTTGTAATTAACATAGCTGTAATTTTTTTTTGTTAAAATACCTTTTCTCCGTTCATTGATTTTTCTGAATTCTTATGTGTCTTTAAACAATTTTTGCTTGGTGTTTAAAAATACGATTGAGGGGGCACGTGGGTGGCTTAGTCAGTTAAGCGCCTGGCTCTTGGTTTCAGTTCAGGTCATGATCTCATGGGTTATGAGGCTGGGTCCCTGCATTGGGCTCCGCACTCAGCAAGGAGTTGGCTTGCAGATTCTCTCCCTCTGCCCCTCCCCCACTCACATGTGCATATGCACGCACTCTCTCTCAAATAAATAAATCTTTAATAAGATGAAATAAAATAAAAAAATGTGATGGAAAAATTTTGGAGTGCTTGGCAAATTTACATTTTGATGACTAATATTTTTACATTGATTTCTGATATTATATGCTTTCCACCTATTTTTCTTTTCCTTTTTAAATTTCTTTTCCTTTTTTTTTTTTTAAAAGATTTTATCTATTTGTTAGAGAGAGAGAGCATGTGAGCACAAGCTGGGGGAGAAGCAGGCTTCCTGCTGAGCAAGGAGCCCAATGTGGGTCTTGATTCCAGGACCCTGAGAGCATGACCTGAGCCAAAGGCAGATGCTTAACCAACTGAGCCACCCAGGCATCCCTTTCTTTCCTTTTTAAATTTCTTTTGGATTATTTTTTCCCCTCTTTTTGTTGGAGAATATATGGTCTTTGTCTCTTCTTTCACTAGTTACCCTAAGTTTTTTATTTTTTTTTTTAAGATTTTATTTATTTGACAGAGAGATAGCGAGAGCAGGAACATAAGCAGGGGGAGTGGGAGAGGGAGAAGCAGGCTTCCCGCAGAGCAGGGAGCCCCATGCAGGGCTCAATCCCAGGACCCTGGGATCATGACCTGAGCCGAAGGCAGACGCTTAACAACTGAGCCACCCAGGTGCCCAGTACCCTAAGTATTTTAATTTGCCTACTTAACAAAGTTAACATTTTTTTCCCTCTCCTCTTGAACAAATCTAAGATCTTATAATAGTTTGTCCAGTCTCCCTCTCACTGTCAACAGCATGCTATTTTTGCCTAATACTTAGTTTTAACATCCCTTTTACAAATTAAGTATTTTTTTTAATACAGTTTTGCTTAGTTTACCCATTATTATCTTTGATATCTTTGCTTGACATTTCTTTTCACATCTCTGACCTTCCTTCTGGGATAATTTTCCTTCTGCCTAGACTTTCTCTGTTGTAATTTCTTTTAATGATCTATTGGTGATAAATCCTCTCAATTTTCATCTCTAAAGTATCTTTATTTTGCTTTAGTTTTTTTTTTTTTTGCCTTACTATTGGAAGAAACTTTCTAGGTTGACAATTATTTGTCTCAGCTCATGGAAGATACTCTTCTGCTGTCTTTTGGCTTCCTATCTGCTGGTGAGAAGCCAGCAGTCTGCTGAATTGACAGATGTTTGGGTGATTACTTTTATTTTCTAGCTGTTTTTAAGATGAAACGTTTTTCTGTGTAGTTCTGCAGTTTCACCATGATGTGTTGAAGTGTCTATATTTATTATGCTTGGGATTCACTGGGATTCCAAGATCTGAGGTCTCAAAAATTCTCACTCATTACCTTTATTACCTCTTTTCCATTCTGTTACCTTCTTTTTATACTTCAATCGGACATATATTAGACATTTCCATCATCATGTTCTGTGTCTCTCTTGACCTTTATTTCATCATATAGCCCATCTCCTTGTCTCTGTAAACTGTCCTTGGGGCCACTTACTCAGTTATATTCTAGTTTATTAATTCTCTCTGGCTTTGTTTGATGTTTAATGCACCCGCTGAATTTTTAATTGCTTTTTATTTTTTGAAGTTATTTTTTTTCTTTCATATCTGCTTGGTCTTTTTTTTTTAAGATTTTATTTATTCATGAGAGACAGAGAGAGAGAGGCAGAGGCAGAGGGAGAAGCAGGCTCCCCTCAGAGCAGGGAGCCCAATGTGGGAGTTGATCCCAGGACCCTGGGATCACAACCTGACCTGAAGGCAGACGCTTAATCGAATGAGCCACTCAGGCACCCTGCTTGGTCTTTTTATTATGTTGTAGTTCCTGCCTATATTCTGGAGTTTTATATAAGTATAGTTTATATTCTACATTTGGTATTTTTAAATTTTTCTACTTGTTTCTCATTGTTCTGATGGTATTGTGTTTCTCTATTTTTTTTTAAATTTTTTTATTTCTCTGTATTTTTAATTTCGACTGTGAGCTGCTTATTTTCTTTGAAAAAATTTTTTTGGTAGGATTTATTTTAAGGTCAGAAAAAGAGAACCAACTGAGACCTTTTTTTTTTTTTTTAAGATTTTATTTATTTGCGAGAGAGAGAATGAGAGGGAGGAGGGTCAGAGGGAGAAGCAGACTCCCCGCAGAGCAGGGAGCCCGATGCGGTACTCGATCTCGGGACTCCAGGATCATGACCTGAGCCGAAGGCAGTCACTTAACCAACTGAGCCACCCAGGCACCCCAACTGAGACCATTTGAAGTTGAATTATCTCCTTGAATTTTTTTCTTTTAAAATAAGAGGTAGTGTGACTTTGAGTCACAAACCCATCTGAAGCCAGCTTATGGTTACATCTCAGGGGAAGATTCTTTTTCCTTCCATTCTACTTAGTGCCAAAGAAAAGAAAACATTTCTTTGTACCCCTGTTTGTGCAATAAGATTTATTTCTCATTCACTGTTATCCTTGAAGGTATAGCCCTTTGTAGTCACTCATATGAATACAGTCTCCTACATCCCATTTCTTGGGCTCCTTTCGAAGCCAGACCTCAAAGTCTCTGGGATTTGGCAAAAACTTTTAGGTGAGAGTGAGCTTGGTACTCATTGGCCTCGGACGTTCCTGCTTTCCCTTTGTTTGGTATCTATAGATTCCTTTCTTTTATGTGGATGAGTGATATTTCAAAAGATATTTGCAAATATTTTATCCAGTGTATCAGTTGTTTTTTAAGGAGTACCATTCACAGTATCTAAGCTGTCACACTACTGAAAGTAGAAGCCCTGGTTTTGTAAAATCAAGGTCACACTCCCCCACTTGCCTTGGGTTTAAAATGAGTGAGGTGAAAAATCCCAGGAAAAAGAGAGAAAAGAACAAAGAAAGAAGTCAGTGCATTTAGTACTTGTTAGTTTGACTCTGTAGTTAAATGGTCGGTATATCAGCACCCCATTCCCCTCAACTCCTGGGTAGAAGTTGCAACAATGGGGGTGGGAGGAGAAGAAAGAATAGTGAATGTGTTCTTAAGACATGTAAGATGACTTTTCATCTTTCAGTTCTTATTTACACCACATGGCAAATTGATCAGTTATTTTCTAATATTGAAGAGAAAACTTTGGATCCTGTTTACTGTTGGAACTGGGCAAGATGTGGAATTTTTTTTTTTTAAGATTTTATTTATTTATTTGACAGAGAGATAGACAGAAGAGCACAAGCAGAGGGAGTGGCAGAGGGAGAGGGAGAAGCAGGCTCTACACTGAGCAGGGAACCCGATGCGGGACTCGATCCCAGGACCCTGAGATCATGACCTGAGCCGAAGGCAGACGCCTAACCATCTGAGCCACCCAGGCGCCCGGAATTTTTTTTTTTTTTAAAGATTTTATTTATTTGAGAGAGACACAGTGAGAGAGGGAATACAAGCAGGGGGAGTGGGAGAGGGAGAAGCAGGCATCCCGCCGAGTGGGGAGCCCGATGCGGGGCTTGATCCCAGGACCCCAGGACCCCGGGACTATGACCTGAGCCGAAGGCAGACGCTTAATGACTGAGCCACCCAGGTGCCCCAAGATGTGGAATTTCTTAGAGCTAATGTATTTGTTATATAGGAAAATGTTAGTATTGAATTGGGAAATGATACTTTATGTTCTATGAATGCAGTAACTAGTAAATAATATAATGTATTAAAAAGAATACTTTATTAGATTTAGAAATAAAGCTACAAGAAAATTAAATCTATTAATAACAGAGAGGGCTTGGAACTGAGAGAGTATATTTCAAAACATTTTAAATGAAAAGTGCACTGGGTAAAGGGATGCTCTTGGAGGGTCATCCAGAGATAGACACCAGGGTTTCCAATCTTGGAAGACACTGGAGCAAAAAGCACGTTTAACCCAGCTGGTCTGGGTGGAGTAATTTAAGATGGAGTAAAAGATCAGCTGAGCTGAGAGGACAGAATTTTTTAAGGCAGATGAAAGGAAGGTCACAACAGTGTGAATGCTGGAGTCAATGAAACCAAGATGGGAGACTCCATGAAGACAGGACTACGAGCCAGATTTCAGGGGGGTCAGGACACTGATGAAGCGCAGTGCAGAGCTGCAGTGGTAATGGGTATGGATGGTATGTGGTGCTTCAAAGCCTGAGCTGAGGGTGGGGTTAATGACAAGTTTCAAAACTGGTACTGGGGCCATGGTGTGTAATTCTCCAACTCTGGATGCACTGGAATGAGAGCTGAATTCAGTGTGGAAGAAGATCAGAAGCATTCTGTTAAATGCTTAAATCTCTGTCCATTTTCCTATACTATGGAAAGGGCACACTGGTGTGGGATGAGGTTATAGTAGTAAAAGGAACACAAAAACCAAAGCTGGTAGTCACAGGTGGAGAGGTAGAAGCAGCAGTGATGGGATATGTAGGAGGCCTTCTAGAGAGGATTTTTGGACTAAAAATGGAGAACAAGGGAACATGCAGGAAGGTTCTGTTTCTGTAGACAGATAGGGAAATTCTTTTTCTACACAACAACAGAAAATTGAAAAACATTCCTGCTGCTGTGCAAGCTGATCTAAATTAGGATTTAGGGTTGAGGTGCTGTGTAGAACAGCCTAGGTTGGTCTGAAGTCCACTGGTCTTTCCTAAATAAGCACCACACTTGAGAAAGTCATTTTATATACACAGGTAATATCAAGCTGAATGAATGCTGGCGGGCTGTTAAACTATTATCTTAATTTTTTTAAGTTCTCCTGAACCTGGGTATATCCCTGGGGTTTTTCTGCTACCAGTTAAAAAACAAAACAAACAGGGGGCGCCTGAGTGGCTCAGTTGTTAAACATCTGCCTTTAGCTCAGGTCATGATCCCAGGGTCCTGGGATCGAGCCCTCCATCGGGCTCCCTGCTTGGCAGGAAGCCTGCTTATCCCTCTCCCACTCCCCCTGCTTGTGTTTCCTTTCTTGCTGTCTCTCCTTCTCTGTCAAATAAATAAAATCTTAAAAAAAATAAAAATAAAAAACAAAACAAAAAAACAAACTCTTGGTGGAATATATTTGGCAGCAGAATAAAAAAATAGGTATTAATACTTACACAAACATAAAGAATAATAAAGAAAAAGAATAAATAAGACATTAGAAGCTTAAAAGCATTGCCTGTTTTTCTCCCTGGGTGATTGACTAGCTGTACAACTTAATTTTGTCAGGTGGTAGGTAGGGAACTAGTAGAAGTCATGACTTGATTCCTTACCTTGGCATCCACTTATATTTAGGTTTTCACCTTTTTAAAGGAGTAATGAGGTGTGCCTTGTTTTCTTTGTTCTCCTCCTTACAGTTTCACTTAGTTTCTAAGGACCAGAATTAGGAAATTGCATGATGGAAAAATAAACCCTAATAAGTAGTGCTACACCCCTTTTTCTCTACTAGCAGCACTCAGAACAGGACTGCAAAACCTCATTAGATTTGCAAAACATGGTAAGAAAAATAAACACCTGCAGATCTTAATTTATTAAGTCCTGGCTATGCTCTCTGAAAATTTATCCTTTATTAAATACAAGGGCAGCACTGAAACACAAAGCTAAATGGAAAGATGGCATATTGTTTCTCCATCATAGAAAATAAGCCTCAACAATATTTAAGAGAAGTAGTCCAGTGGCATAAAATTAAACAGAAATACACCAAACTGTGTCAGAGATTTTCCTGGGGTGAGGTAAACAGGAAATGTCATACAGCAAAACCTGCCTTAACAACCATCAAGTTCCCTTAATGAAATATGCACTTTAAAATAAACTAAGCCAATAGGTGGGTAAGGAAAGGGGAAATACAATTGTAGAATTTTTTTTTTCCACGTTTTGTTTCTAATCTTTTCATTAAATGAAATGGATTTCAACAGGAGTGAGCCTGAAAAAATTACAGTGGAAGTTACCTGTATTAAGGCCCTCAAGCTAATATTATGACAATGCCATTTAAAAAAGTATCATGACATATAACAATCATATAACAATGCTTGTTATAAAAGCTATCCTATCTTACTAATTTGGTTAATGAAATATGGAATGTTTTAATATGTTCTTCTGTGTCTTAAGGGTTTAGAATAACTGAAAAAATATAATTCCTCTAGAATAGTGAGTTAAAGCCATGGACTGACTGGCATCTAGACTGGGACTGACCCAGGAATTGCATGGTATTTGGATAGGTACTGGGCCATCAGGTATGATGAGTTCATTTTTGGAATTCAGGCCTATCCCAAGAGGTGTGAATATATTAATTTATTGTAATGGTTAACTTCTTTCTGGAGAATGTTAGAGTTTTGTGTCTGTATCTAGGAAAACCCAGGCAGGTCCTTAACTGGGGAGGAGAGGGCAAGAAACTAATGAGAGTTTGAGCAGATAATGGTAGATGGCACAGCTTATGCTAGACCAGCCCTCTCACACACACAAAATTAAACTTTGGATAAAACATTAAAAATTATCTAAAGGTAATGGAGAATGACCAAAAACATGCAGAAACTTGAGGGGAGTTAACACTAGTAAGAGGGGAAACGTATTTTTAACATCTTTTCAACTCAGGGCAGACCAAGTGCCACTAAGAGTAATTAAAACTCCTGTAGGAAGCTTAAGTCATTAATTAGTCGAGGAATCAGAGTACAGAGTTCAGAGCGACCAAAGAGTCTGGAAAGTGAGAAGGAAATCCTGAAAAGGAGAGAGTCACAGAAGGTGGTAGCCACACTGCCCAAATCTCTCACTGATCTCCGAAATCCACATCCTTGGGGCTGGCTTTAAGAAGCCCAGCTAAAACAAAAAGAACTGAATAGATACTTCACAGCTGTTGCCCACCATGGGGGAGACAGAATTTGGAGCTTCAGATCAACCAAGCTAACTGCCTACTAAACCTAACAAATAAAAATTCTTCAGAACAACAGCACAGAATGCACAGTTTCTACAATGTATTATTCACATGTCCAGGATATAATCTAATCAGATATATGAAGAAACATACTCAAAAGACCATCAGTGGAGACCGACCCTAAGATGACCCAGATGTTGGAATCAGCAGACAAGGATTTTTAAGCAGTTATTATAACTCTGCCCCAAAACAAAGGAAGAAATGGATAGGAAATTTCAGCAGAAATAGAAACTATTAACAACAATAGGATCAAATAGATTCTAGAAGTGAAAAAGGATGTCTGAAATTTAAAAATCACCAGATGTGTGTAACAGCAATTTGGAGACGGTAAAAAAGTGAGTCAGTGAACTTGCAGATAAGAACAATTGAAATTATCTAATCTGAAATGTGAGCAGGCAAAAAAAATTGGATGTAGGGAGCTTTTTCTTTGGTTATTGTTTTTATTATATATAAAACCTTTTTTGACATGGCTACTGGACTGGTAAATCAGGGGAATGCTTGATCAGAATATATCTTGATTTTGACAGTGCTTTAAGTTTTTAATGACATCCTTTTGTACAAGAAGAAAAATGTGGACCAGATGACAATAATTAGATGTATTTATTGTTGACTCCTGTCATTCTGCCAGACTGCCTTCAGTGCTGTAATGGGGGTTGGAGTAAAGTGTAATGATAGAAATGGGGAAGGAACACTTAATCTGTTACCTGTGATTTTTTATTGCTGTCCTCCTTCAGTAGTGCATAAACTCCATGAGGACAGGCAGTGCATATTTTTAATCTGTATCTTCCCAATTGTCAGGACCTGTAATTAGTTCTGCTCTCTGGAATGGGCCAAGACCTGGGAAAGCATGAGGGTGAGCACGGTGACAGAGAATCCAGGAATGCACTATGTTCAGAAATTGAGGCAGATAGAATGCTTGTTCCAGGGAAATCAGTCAGCTGGCAGATGGTCTCAGGTACCGAGCTAGTGTTGGAGGCAAGACTTCAATCTCTTGAGGGTAGTGTTTCTCAAAGTATAGTTCAGATCACTTGTTTCAGAATTACCTGGAGTGCTAGTTAAAATGTCAATTCTAGGAAACAATCCTAGACTTGCTAAGCTGGCATCTTTAAGGGTGGGTCTTGAAAATCTACAGGTACCTTAGATGATTCTTATATATATGAATTTGAACTGTTTATTTTTAGGGGCTGGGAGCTGGCAAAAGCAAGGAACAGACTAAGTCCTAGGGCAGGTGTCAGAAACTTGGCAGTTAGCATCTTGAGCTGGAAAATTCTTTCTTGTGGGGGCGCTGCTGTCCTGTGCCTTGTGGAATGTTTAGCAGCATTCCTAGTCTGTAACCCTGTAAATGCCAGTAGCATCCCCTCTCCCAGCTGTCACAACCAGACATTGTACAATGTCCCCTAAGGAGGTACATTAGTCCCTGGTTGAGAACCACTGCTTTGGGGGATCCGAGTAGTAAGCCTGTGCCTAGCCTAAGGATCAGAGGAAGAAGAACACAATATGGGGAGATATCCAGCTACTGGAACTGGAATGTCAACCTAGGACTAGATTTACAGCAAGAGCTCCTTTATAAGGTTGCTATTGGTAGCTTAGCTTCCTTGCTGTAGCGGTGCCGTGTAGCTCTGGAATACAAAGGCTGAGAACTAAACAGGTCTGGCACCTTAGGTCAGGTCTCAGCCCTGGCTGTGCATCATCCATGGGGAATCGTAAAAATACAGAGATGCGTCAGCCAGACTCAGTCCTTCTGAAGCAGAATTTCCAGTGATGAAGCCCAGGCATCTGATACACGACCTGGATTCTGGAACACTCACAGGGTTAGACGACATCTAGAATACTGTGTTTAGGAATTCAGAGAGACATAGGCTAGGAATAAAGGTGTCTCAGAATAGCAGACCTCAGCAATGGGTAGTATCTGAACCTCTTTAATAGTTCTGTTCTCATCCTATCCTGCTCTACAGGTGAGGACAAAAACATTACATACAGATACATTGTGGCTAAACTGCTCTAAGTAGAGAATTTTCCCAATTTTACTCTTATTCTCTGTTCTGAGCCTACCTGCTCTTTTGTAATTTCTCCTGTTCCCATCCCACTGCCAAAACCTGATTTCTTTCTTTTCCCACCCACTTTGTCTGATATCTGTTTGGCTTGTGTGATTTGGGCAATATTTAGGAGGCAGAATCAAAGCCTTGTTGACTGGAGTGGGAGCTTCTAACTTCCTTTTAAAGGTCCCAATAAGAATCAATGGTATAAGTTAATATAAAGTAAAACTGTAAAGCAATAAGAGATTCCATAAACTGCATAAGAAACACAAGGTTCACAGAGTAGCATCTCATACTTTATGACAGAAAATCTAGAAAAGAGAAAAAATTCTATGGCATGTTCACTGTGTACTTTGTTTCAATTCCATGTGAAACACTGCAGTTAACTAAAAAGTATACCCATGGGGAATCTCGGTTAAACTTGATTAAGCTTATTTAAACTAGCTACTAGTTCAGCAATAATTCCATAACAGCCCAAGAGCTCTGTAAAAACACTTCCACTGATTATTTTATTCAGAAAAAAACAAACAGGAGAAGAAAGAAACACAATTCTGGTCATTTGCAGTATCTATCAGCTTTCAATTTGGCTCTCCTGTTTAAACAAAGACAAATGATAAAAATTATGTAAAACATTCCATATATATCAACTACTAAATATATACGCACACTGAGAAATTGTGTTCTCCATTTTGATTACTATATTGCCATACTACCTATATTAAAATAGTTTAACTAAAGTTTAACTTTTCAATGTTGTTTCCTATTAAATGCATTCTATTCTTATCAAAGTCTTTCATAATCTTTAAGAAATGTTGCCTAAGAGCTTTTTTAATCCACAATAGCAATTTTAATTGCCTCTGAATTTAAGCATGCCCTGAACTTCTATTTAACAGGGTGGCAATGTTCTATTTTCATGAGTGATAAAAGTTAACAAGACCTAAGCCTTATTTCTTTTGCATCCATATATCTTTTTTTTTTTTTTCTTTACATCCTATTCTTAATTTTTTAAAACTAAATACATGCTTTGTTCAGCAGGAAAAATTCTTAAATCATTTACTAACTTCTGGTAACAACTCGATCAACTAGTTAACAGGATATACATGATGAAGCATTATCTTTATCAAGTAGTGTGAAGAAATGTTTTAAGACTAATGTTGTAACACAGGACTTTGAAGGAGTGGCAGATTACCAAATTCTCTTTCAATCTGGCACTTACTTGATTTATGGTTATAAACTTACAGCTAATCCTCTCTACCTACTTTTTTATGTTATACATCTAGCACATTACTTGCCTAAATAAGAACAGTTTTAGATAAATATTAATAATGTGCTATGATAAAATCCTGCACACTTCTAGATTCAACTTAATAAAAGTGTTTCAATTTTATTTCATTTTATACTTAGTAATTTTTAAACTGATCTGTTTTTATCTCATTTTAGGAACCTGCTATTCTACTAGAACCCACTGTATTTTGAAATTAAACTACTTCCTTCTAGCCCTGTTCTAATAATTATAGAAAGATGATGTTAAATTTATGAAGGGGTTTCAGTCAAACCTGAATGTCTTATAAAAAAATTTGTAAGTTTTTGGAATCTATTTTTAGATATTGTTTCCTGGGTGATCTTTTCCCAGACTTATGTCCTTTTTAGGTAACATTACTATGTTCACAAATTACAAGACAAAAATTTAAGAACTGTAATAATTGAAAAAGAACACTGGTTATATATATGCCATTTCTATTGGATACGAAAACAGTTGGAAATAAGTAAAAATATACCTACCTGTCCAGAAGTGTTTCATGCAAAAATCCATCTTTCCGGGCCTTTTTGAGAATTTTACTGTCTTCTTTACTTATTTTAAGTTTATGGTCTTGGAAGCTCTGAAATTTCTTTCTGTTAAGAAAATGTCTTTCTTGAAAATCATCTCAAACTTTGATTATACATGTTTACTCATGAACTTACAATATTTTAAAAGTTTTTCATTTATTTAAAAAAAACTAATTGTCTTTCTTTTGAAACATACAACTTTTCAACTGCGAAGATGACCTCAGTCCTCCTCCATGAAAAGGACTACAAAGGGCAGGACTACGAAGCCCCACTGCCACGAAGGCGTGTTGGCTGGAGTCCTGAATCCTGGCTATGGAACAACATTTGGTTGGCATTATGTACCAATAAGCTATAGTCATTCTATTAATGAATACGGAGAAAAGACTAATCCAAGTGACTTTAGCTTTGAAAGCTAGCAGGATAATTAGGAAAACTGAAGCTCTGAGAAAAGAAAAGCATTCAGCTTAGTTCTTTGTCCTAGAGTCCATTTTATGCTGCCTCTCGTCCTTTGGGTATTTTATTTTATGTGTCTTGAGAAGTACTTCATTGCCAAATATGTAAGGTCTAAAAGGGAAAGAATACGTACACATAATTGATTTCACACTGTTTAACATTTCCTTTGTCTTCTTCTGGAATATCATCTTTTTTCTTAGTTTCTCTTTCAGCACAGGATCTAATCTGGACAATGGAGATGAAAACCCAATAGGTTATACATATATCTTCCCCTTCCCCACTTTACTTATTTGCTAAGAACCCTCTAGGTAATTTCTTATGCAAATGAAGAAAACAATCAACTTAGCAATCAGATTCAGAAAGAGGTTCTAGATATTTTTTTTTTTTTTAAGATTTTATTTGAGAGAGAGCCACGAGGGGAGGGGAGGGAGGGGCAGAGGAGAGGGAGAAGCAGGCTCCCCGTTGAGCAGGGAGCCAGACATGGGGCTCGATCCCAGGACCCTGGGATCATGACCCTGTGCAGAAGGCAGACGCTTAACTGACTGAGACAACGAGGCGCCCCTCTAGATATGTTTTTATTTATATATGCATAATTTATACAAATTGCTATTATGTTTCTCTAGAGCCTTTGCATCAGACACAAAAGACAAAATTATTTGAAAAACATTTTATAGATCAGATCCTGCTGAGCAATTAGGCAATAATTTAATTAATTTTGGCCTCAAAGTAAATATTCAAATTATCCCTATAGATAGCGTTTATTTTGTAACACTGGAAGTTTAAGATAGTAGCTATTTTAATTTGCACAGCTATTCCCAAATCCATTAAAACTTTTAACATGATACAGCTCACTTATTTACTTAATTGGAATCCACTCCTTCTAAATCTTCCTTATATCCTCATAAATTGTGACAGATACTTACTATCACAATGCCATAAATTGATATAGTAATTAGGATCCACTGAGTGGGGCAAGAAGGGGACAGATTCAGGTCCCAAGAACTGGCAGTTTGCAACCCAGAGGACAGGATTTACATCTCCACAGTGATCTGTGTGGCTCAGAGTCCAATTCCAAGGCTGCTTAGAAATTGGTGACCAGGAAGGCATGTGCCAATGCTACCTGTGTGGCAGGTTTGGTTGAGGGGGTCCTAGCAGACCTGGGAAGATTACTGGCCAGGGCCTGCGACAGTACTGCTTTTGACAGGACGGAATGTGTCCTGATAGGGTATAAAGGTGGACAGCTGACACAGACTAGCAGAGCCTATGAAGTAAAATGCAAGATGGAAGGAGTTCTGCATTCACTGCTCAGAGCTTCCAGGTACCTGACTAACCAAACAGACCCAGGGAAATGTAACAGACACTTCATATAAAAACAGTTGTCATTAAATACAGCAGTGTTTTTGTTTTGTATTTTTCCCACGAAAGGGCAAAGTACTGCACTTTATTTGCATTGTCTTCAAAAACCATACTTTTAGGTAAGTGAGAAATCCACCAGCGTTTTTCTAATGACCTGTTTCCTGAGAGGCAGTATGGTGGTTTCCAGTCAGTTGGGCCTGGGTATACATCCTGTCTCTATCATACCTAGCTGTGTGAGTTCATGACTGATCACAACAGGTGAGGATGTAAGGAGGCTCAGAGGCTCTCTCCTCATCGGTAAAGTGAAGATAATAGATATTTCACAGGAACTTTATGAAGATTCAAGAAGACAGTGCTTGTATCATATTCAGCAGAGTGCCTGTAGCTACTGGCTTCTGTTTCGGTTTGTGGGTTTTTTTTTTTTTAATGTAATTGAAAAATGTTATGACTAATGTTTATCATACACCTTGTAATTCTATTTTTGGGAATTTATCCTCGGATATACCAGCACACCTACAGAATGATGCATATTCAAAGTTATGTGTTACAGCACTGTTTTTAAGGGCAAAAGACGGGAAGTCACCTAAATTTGCATTTATGAGGAACTGATTAAATAAATTATGGCTTATCCCTAAAATGGAGTATTATGTAGCTGTTAAAAAAGAGAAAATTTTCTACAGAGTGATAAGGGACAATCTCCAAGATAAAAATATTAAGGAAAAAAAAAAATCAAGGTCTAAAGGAGGACACGCAGGAGGCTAACTTTATTGTAAAAAAGTAGAAAATTATAAACATATTTTTATTAAGAAACTCTGGTAGGCTACAGAAGGATGGGAGTCATGAATTTATATGCTTGTATTTTTAAAATTTTGAACCATGTGAACATATCTATTTAAAAAATTAAATTTTAAAAAGCAAGCAAGAAAAAAAAAGGAAACAGAGTCCTAAAAAGCATGTGGAACTACTCAAAAAAAGATACTAATACATGGAGGTAAGATATAATAATTTTGCTACCACATGGTACAAACAAGCTGTCAATTATAGGATTTATAATTAAGCTTTTTATAATAAAGCTTATTTGGAGCATAATATAAAACACTATGCATTACATCTTTAAAGTGATAGTAAATGATTATTCAACATTTTTAAGAGATATAGTCACATCATATATGTGACATGTATTAGTCTATAGAAAAATGAAAAAGAAAAAAATTAAAAGAAAAATGTCATGATTACCTTTATCATTTCTTCTTCTCCTGCTGTTTTACTTTTTGCTTCTATATCACCTGCTTCATTGCATCTAATAAAGCAGCTATTTGAAGCCAATAAAGCCATTTTTCCCTATATCAAACAAAATAATATAAAAGTTACAAGACTACTGCAAAAGAATTCTTAAGTCTTGAGAATGAAATTAATTTTGCCCCTTGGCCCCAACTGTAAAAGTAATCAGTAAAAAGAATTTGGAGAAAACATAGAAGATAAAAAACATACAGAAAAGAAAACCAAAATCACGTATAATCTTACTACTCAAAAATAACCTCATAACTATTTTTAGTATATTCTATTAGTAGGACTGAATTCTAACTAGATGAAATAGAATTGTTTCCTTTGGCCTTAAAGAAATATTGAGGCTATAACTGATTTAGTTCTGTTTGAAAAATAATTAGCTTTTAAGACAATAAAAAATTATATAATGCATAGTAATTTATTCAAATAATAGCATTTTAAGTAAAAATTTCTTCATAATTAGAAAATACAAAAATATACAAGAGCTAGCTTTTGGTGCTTTTGAATTTACTGTTCAGAACGTTAAGAATCAATGTCAGAGGGATGTTTTTATGTGGACAGAAATTATGGTGGGCAGAGGGTACTACTGCTATTTTTGCTGCACTATTTCCTCCCGCAGCTTTACTGAGATATAACTGACAATCACCACATAAGTTTAAGGTGTACAGCATAATAGTTTGGCTTAACACTTATTGTGAAATGATTATCTTAATAAGTTTTAGTTAGTATCCATCATCTCATGCAGTTAACAATAAAAAGAAAGCATAAAAATAAAACAATATTTTTCCTTATGATGAGAACTCGGTTTACTCTCTTAACAACTTTCCTATATATCATACAGCAGCGTAACTATAGTAATCATGCTATACATTATACCCCTGGCACTTATTTATCTTGTAGTTGGAAGTTTGTACCTTTTGACCACCTTCTTCCTCTAATTCCTAATCCCAAAACCTAGCACTCTGGTAACCAACCACAAGTCTGATGTCTTTTTCTGAGTTTTATTTGTTTGTTTGTTTTTAAGATTCCATATATAAATGAGATCATACAGTTGTCTTTCTCTGACTTACTTCACTTAGCAAGGTCCATCCATGTTGTTACAAATGGCAAGGTTTACTCATCTTTTATGGCTGAATAATATTCCATTGGATATGTGTATACCACAACTTCTTTATCCATTTATCTATCAATGGACATTTAGGTTGTTTCCGTATCTTGGCTCTTATAAGTAATACCACTATGAACATGGGGGTGCAGATATCTTTTCAAGTTAGTTTTTTGGTGTCCTTTGGATATATTCTCACAAGTGGGATTGTTGGATCTTATAATAATTCTGTTTTTAATTTTTTTGAGGAACCTCCATACTGTTGTTTTCCACAGTGGCTGCATCAGTTTGCATTTCCACCAGCAGTGCATGAAGGGTCCCTTTTCTGCACATCCTCCCACCATTTATCTCTTTTTGAAGATGGCCATTCTAACAGGCAGGTAGTGATACCTTATTGTGCTTTTGATTTGCATTTCCCTAATGACTAGTGATGTTGAGCATCTTCTCATGTACCTGTTGGCCTTTCGTATATCTTCTCTGGAAAAAAACGTCTAGTCAGGTCTTTTGCCCATTTTTCAATTGGGTTATTTGTTTCTTTGCTATTGAGTTGTATCAGCTCTTTATATATTTGGATATTAACCCTTTATCAGAAATATGGTTTGCAAATATTTTTTCTCATCCTGTAGGTTGTCTTTTCACTTTGTTGATTATTTCTTTTGCTGTGTTGCACTGTTTTTCAAGACCTTTTTAGTTACGAGTTTGTATTGGTTTTCTTCAATTTAATGGGTTATATTACTGCACTCTGTATTTTGGGGTTTTTTTTTTGGAATATATATTCTCATTGACTGTTAAAGACTGTATCTTACATTGACAAGAAGCTTTTATGAACAATAATAGCACTTACATCTTGAAAGACTGGTTCCCATTGTTCTCTTGGTCCAATTGCATCTGAACGCCCCACAACAAGTCCATCTGAATTAATACCAAGGTATTTTCCATAACCAGATTTCAGGGCAATTCTTTAGATTAACAAAAAGGAAATGTTAAAAACTGAGAGAAAGAAAATTGAATATGGAACATAAAAATAATGTTTGTGTGTGTATAGAAATCCAGGCTAGCCATAGTCCAAATTTTCAAAAGCCACATGTGGTTAGTGACTACCATATCGGACAGTGTAGTTCTATATATGTAATTTTATATTGTAGTTATAAGGCTCCTATTACATTCTATCAAATTGCTTTCCAGAAAAAATCTGTATCAACTTAACATTCTCACCTCAAATCAGGAGAGTATCATTTCACCATAGATCTATTAACATTATGCCTTTTTTAGAAAAAATTAGAATATCAGATACAGGAAAAATAGTATCTAATTGATTTTTACCATTGTAAGTGACATTTGTACTTCCCTTCCTTTTTAGTTTTTAAGTTATCTTTTTGTCCATTTTTCTATTGGTATCTTACTGCTTTCCTTAGTGTTATGAATCCCGTACATACAAAGAATAAAAATTCACTGCCTGTTAACGTTGTTGCAAATACTTTCCTCATTTGCTTATATTTTTTGTTTTCAACTGTAAAGAAGTTTGCATTTATTGATTTTTCTTCTGCTGCTTTTATTCTTTAAAAGTCTCTCGGGGCGCCTGGGTGGCTCAGTCGGTTAAGTGTCTGACTTCAACTCAAGTTATGATCTTGTGATCCTGGGATGGAGCCCCACAAGCTCCACAGTCAGGCTCTGTGCTCCTCGCTCAGCAAGGAGTCTGCTTCTCCCTCTCCCTTGCTCCCTCCCCAGTGCTCACTCCCGCTCTCCAAAGTAAATAAATAAATCTTGTAAAAATAAGTCTTTCACTATACTTATTGGCCACTCAAATAAAGCATAGGAATGATAATCTTAATCTTAATGTGATTTTTTTAAAGAAAAAAATATGATTTCTTAACTTAGCTTACCAATCCCTTGTGCCAAGGGACTGATTTTATATTAATTTATAGGTTAATGATAGTATAATATAAATCATTATCATGTTGATGCAGCCAATTATCAGCATACTGAAATTCAATTTCTGTGTGCACAACCCAAAGTATCATTCTGTACTTTTGCACTGTGAGAATAAAAAAGGCCAGCTTATAAAATGATTGTAAAAATAGTGAATAAAATATTCTTTTGGTCTTCATGGCTATGTAACATTCTCTATTGATTTTAATAATTTTAATAATATTCCTTTCTTCTGTCTTGTTTATCTCTTCCATCTTAGTGTGTCTTCTTCAATTTTTTTCATGAGGGTTCTGTAGTTCCTAGAGTGTAGATCCTTTACCTCTTTGGTTAGGTTTATTCCGAGGTATCTTATGGTTTTGGTGCTATTGTAAATGGAATTGTTTCTCTAATTTTTCTTTCTACAGTTGCATTGTTAGCGTATAAAAAGCAACTGATTTCTGTGCGTTGATTTTGTATCCTGCCACATTACTGAATTGCTGTATGTGTTCTAGTAATTTGGGGGTGGAGTCTCTTGGGTTTTCCACATAAAGTATTATGTCATCTGTGAAAAGAGAGAGTTTGACTTCTTTGCCAATTTGAATACCTTTTATTTCTTTTTGTTGTCTGATTGCTGTTGCTAGGACTTCTAGTACTATGTTGAACAATAGTGGTGAGAGTGGGCATCCTTGACGTGTTCCTGATCTTAAGGGAAAGGCTCTCAGCTTTTCCCCACTGAGGATGATATTCACTGCTCATGGATCGGAAGAATAAACATTGTTAAAATGTCTATGCTACCCAGAGCAATCCATACCTTCAATGCAATCCCGATCAAAATTCCAATGACATTTTTCAAAGTGCTGGAACAAACAATCCTAAAATTTGTATGGAATCAGAAAAGACCCGGAATCGCCCAGGAAATGTTGAAAAAGAAAAACAAAGTTGGTGGCATCACGTTGCCCAATTTCAAGCTATATTACAAAGCAGTGATCACCAAGACAGCATGGTACTGGCACAAAAACAGACATACAGACCAATGGAACAGAATAGAGAACCCAGATATGGACCCTCAACTCTATGGTCAAATAATCTTCGACAAAGCAGGAAAAAATATGCAATGGAAAAAAGTCTCTTCAATAAATGGTGCTAGGAAAATTGGACAGCCATATGCAGAAGAACGAAACTCGACCATTCTCTAACACCATACACAAAGATAAACTCAAAGTGGATGAAAGACCTCAATGTGAGACAGGAATCCATCAAAATCCTAGAGAACATAGGCAATAACCTCTTTGACACTGGCCACAGCAACTTCTTTCAAGATACATCTCCAAAAGCTAGTGAAACAAAAGCAAAAATGAACTTTTAGGACTTCATCAAGATATCTTGTTTATATCTTGACTTCTGACGAGTTAACATATCACAGCAACATCAGACCAGGTTTTGTTTTATGTCTGTTTTCTTTACATGATCTTCCTTCTTATTTGGTCTGTGACATTATTAATATTCATTTTTTCCTAGCCTAGTATTATATATTGCTAGGAATCATAGTGTATGTTTTTATTTGGAGCTTTAATTCTCCTTTTTAAGATTTTTTTTTTTAATTTATTTGACAGAAAGAGAGAGAGACACAGCTAGAGAGGGAACACAAGCAGGGGGAGTGGGAGAGGGAGAAGCAGGCTCCCAGCCGAGCAGAGAGCCCGATGCGGGGCTCGATCCCAGGACCCCGGGACCATGACCTGAGCCGAAGGCAGACGCTTAACAACTGAGCCACCCAGGCGCCCCAAGGAGCTTTAATTCTCTTTCAAAGACACAGTGGCTGCAAATGAAATTTAATAATACCTAAATATAGTATATATGTTATATTTTTAAAATGTCACAAAATATACTTTCAAAAAGATTGTTTTGCTTTTTACATCAAAATTGGTCTGTGGAATTAAGTTAGCTTAATTAATTACCTATATAAATTTTTCAGTGAATAAGTTTAAATTTTTTTTTTTTAAAGATTTTATTTATTTATTTGACAGAGAGAGATGCAGTGAGAGAGGGAACACAAGCAGGGGGAGTGGGAGAGGGAGAAGCAGGCTTCCCGTGGAGCAGGGAGCCTAATGCGGGCCTCGATCCCAGGACCCTGGGACCATGACCTGAGCCGAAGGCAGACGCTTGACGACTGAGCCACTCAGGGGCTCCAGTGAATAAAATTAAATTAAAAAAATAAAAGGTGATTAATTATAGTTCAACTTACTTACCTGGAATCAGACAATTTGACAGCTGTAAACTGCTCTGGAGGACTAGGGCCCTCATCAACTATAGGAGAAAAAACATTTTGAAATAAATTTGACATTTGTTACAAATATACACGTAAAGATATTCTTCAGCTTTAAAAAAAGTTTTCTTTTAGTGCAATTGCTGGGTAGCTCTATCTTCAACTTTTTGAGGAACCTCCATACTGTTTTCCAGAGTGGCTGCACCAGCTTGCATTCCCACCAGCAGTGTAGGAGGGTTCCCTTTTCTCCGCCTCCTTGCCAACATCTGTCATTTCCTGACTTGTTAATTTTAGCCATTCTGACTGGTGTGAGGTGGTATCTCATTGAGGGTTCTCGAGGGGAGGGGGGAGGGGGGATGGGTTAGCCTGGTGATGGGTATTAAGGAGGGCACGTATTAATGGAGCACTGGGTGTTATACGCAAACAATGAATCATGGAACACTACATTAAAAACTAACGATGTATCCCTGCTTGGCGGGAAACCTGCTTCTCCCTCTCTCACTCCCCCTGCTTGTGTTCCCTCTCTCGCTGTGTCTTTCTCTGTCCTATAAATAAATAAATAAATAATCTTAAAAAAACAAACAAACAAACAAAAACTAACAATGTAATGTATGGTGATTAACATAAAATAAAATTGAAGTTTTCTTTTAAAATTAAATGTAAGAATATTGTGATATTTTGATATAATCATAATTATTCAGATTAGAACATCAAGATCTACTTTATCTTCTTATAACTACAGTGTTAGTTTTACATACTTAATAGGTAAGTCAGCATGATGCTTACTCACTTATAAGATACTTTCTTTTTGTTTTTTTTTTTTAAAGATTTTATTTATTTATTTGAGAGAGAGAAAGAGAGAGAGCATGAGAGCGAGGAGGGTCAGAGGGAGAAGCAGACTCCCTGCCGAGCAGGGAGCCCGATGCGGGACTCGATCCTGGGACTCCAGGATCATGACCTGAGCCGAAGGCAGACACTTAACGACTGAGCCACCCAGGCGCCCCATCTTTTTGTGTTTTAAAATGCACTCAGTAGATAGACAAATAAGCATTTAATACTTAAAAAACTAAATGCTTTAACTTATTCAAGGGATGGACAGTCATACTAAAAGATACTGCTTTTTATTTTCTGATTGCTTCATATCTCATTAGTACTTATTCTGATGGGCTAGAAGGAATAACAAAACCTCAAATTGTTAATAATGCTCCAGGTTAGTTTTGGCAATAGGTCTAAAGAATAAAGGAATCAAATCTCTGACTCAACTAGGATTCCCTTTCAATTTCAATTATTCATGTTGCTTTTGATTTCAATTGATACTCTTCTGGAACTATAAAGAATGTTTTCACATGCTTACATTGGAAAGAGGGATTTGCCAATAACTGGTAAACATTAAGGAAGGAAAAAAGAGGAAGAGCCAAATGCAATGGATTTATTCCTTTGGCATATACTTGAGATTAGTTAGAATTTGGCCTAAGTGAATGAATGTCATAAAATATATACTTTAAATGGGCTTTTCCCTTCCATTGCTTCTACTAGACACAGACCTTCTTTATGTGGAGCTCCCAGTGTAAAAAGTCCATTGTCAAGTGCATGTATGTAGGTTCCTTTATCCATTTCAATTGCTATGGTTCCTGATATTTCACCAAAGTTTGTTACTGTCCACCAGATTCCTGAAAAATAAAATCAATATTTAAAATTTTTATTTTAGATTTGACACAAGGTTCTTATTTGTTGTTCTTGTTGTTATAACTTATTTTTTAAAACTTTTTATTTTGCAGTTATAAGAAATAATACAGAAAGATCGCCTATATCCTTTACTCACCTCTCCCAGTGGTAACATCTTACATAATTATAGTACAATGTCAAAATCAGGAAACTACCCTTTATACAAACTATGAGCCTTATTTAGATTTCATCAGTTTTACATAAACTCATTTATATGTTTGTATGTATGTGTATAGATGTAGGTGACCACCACCCACAATCAAGATTACATTCTTTTCAAAATATAAAATAGCAGTGGATGTGAAGGCACAAAATGATGGAGAGCAGTCTCTTTCATTCTCTCCCCAGCCATCCATGACTGCTTACCAGAGGCAATGACTATTATACTGTTTCTTACGAATCCCTTCAGAAAGACTTTCTAGCACAGTATTCTTTTTTTTTTCCTTTTCAAGTTTTTATTTAAATTCCAGTTAGTTAACATACAGTGTAATACTAGTTTCAGGTATAGAATTTAGTGATTCATTACTTACATACAACACTCTGCTCATCACAAGTGCCGTCCTCAATACCTTTCACCCTTTTAACCCATCTCCCTGCCCACCTCCCATCCAGCAACCCTGTTTGTTCTCTATAGTTAAGAGTCTGTTTTCTGGTGTGTCTCTCTCTTTTTCCCTATGTCCATCTGTTTTGTTTCCTGAATTCCACATGAGTAAAATCATATGGTATTTGTTTTTCTCTAACTTATTTCACTTAGCATAATGCTCTCTAGCTCCATCACATTGCAAATGGCAAGATTTCATTCTTTTTTATGGTCTAGCACAGTATTCTTAACCATAATTTAAATTAGAAACAAAATGAGCAGAAACTATGTACTCTATTTACATGAACAGAAATGGGTTTCTTTTATTCATTTAATTCAAATATAATTAACATACAGTGTTATATTAGTTTCATATATACAATATAATGACTCAGGAATTCTATACATTTCTCAGTGCTCATCAAGGTAAGTGTACTCTTAATTCCCCTTCACCCAATTCACCTATCCGCCTACTCATGATGCACATTCAATACAAGCTCTATCAAAATATCAATAATTTTTCACAGAACTAGAATAACCCTAAAATTTGTATGGAACCACAAAAGATCCCAAATAGCCAAAGCAATCTTGAAAAAGAAGAAAGCTGGAGGTATCACAATCCCAGATTTCAAGATATACTACAAAGCTGTAGTAATAAAAACATAATGGTACTGGCATAAATACAGACATACAGATCAATGGAACAGAATAGAGTGTCTAGAAATAAACCCACACTTTTATGGTAAATTAATTTATGACAAAGAAGGCAAGAATATAAAATGAGGAAAAGACAATCTTCAACAAATGGTGCTGGGAAAAATGGACCACTTTCTTATACCATATACAAAAATAAACTCAAAATAGATTAAAGACCTAAATGTGAGAACTGAACCCATAAGATTTCTACAAGAAAACATAGGCAGTATCCCTCCTGATTCTTTGACATCAGCCGAAGAAACATTTTTCTTAGATATGTCTCCTCTGGCAAAGGAAACAAAAGCAAAATTAAACTATTTGAGACTATACCTAAGTAAAAAGCTTTTGTTCAGTGAAGGAAACCATCAACAAAACAAAAAGACAACCTACTGAATGGAAGAAGCTGGTTGCAAATGATATATCCAATAAGGGGTTAATATCCAAACTATATAAAGAACTTACACAACTCAACACCAAAAAAACCCCCAAAAAATCCAATTAAAAAATGGATCGAGGAACTGAATAGAAATTTTTCCACATAAGACATACAGATGGCCAACAGACACAGAAAATGTTTAACATTATTAATCCTCAGGGAAATGCAAATTAAAACCACAATGAGATATTTCCTTACACCTGTTAGAATGGCTAAAATAAAAAAAAAAGACAAGAAATAACAAATGTTGCAGAAGATGTGGAGAAAAAGGAATCCTTGTGCCCTGCTGGTAGGAATGCAAATTGGTGCAGACACTGTGGAAAACAGTATGGCGTTTTCTCACAAAATTAAGCACAGAATCACCACAAGATCCAGTAATTCCACTACTGGGTATTTACCCAAAGAAAATGAAAACATTAATTTGAATAGATAGATGCACATTCTATGTTTAAACTGCAAACTATGTTTACTGCATCAGTTTATTGCTGGGCTTTTTGTTCTATTGATCTTTGTATTGTTTTTATGCTACTACCAAACTTTTGATTAGTCTATCTTTGTAATATCGTTTGAAATCAGGAAGTGTGGTACCTCCAGCCTAGTTCTTCTTTCTTAAGACTGCTAGCTATCTGGGCTTTTTTGTGGTTCCTTACAAATTTTAGGACTGTTTGTTATTTGTGAAAAATGCCACTGGAATTTTGATAGAAACTGCACTGAATCTGTAGATTGCTTCGAGGTAGTATGCGTATTTTAACAATTTAATTCTTCTGATCCATGAACATGGAATATCTTCCCATTTATATGTGTCTTCTTCAAATTCTTTTATCAGTGTCATACTTTTCAATGTACAGGTCTTTCACATCCTTGGTTAAATTTAATCCTAGGTATTTTATTCTCTTTGGTACAACTGTAAATGGGATTATTTTTCTTAATTTCTCTTTTTGATACTTCAATATTAACATATAGAAACAGAACAGATTTCTGTATGTTGATTTTATATCCTGAAACTTTACTGAATTCATTTATTCTAACAGTTTTTTTGGTGGAGTCTTTAGGGTTTTCTATATATAAAATCATGTCATCTGCCAACAGTGACAGTTTCATTTCTTCCTGATTTGGATGCCTTTTCTTTCTTTCTTTCCTTCCTTCCTTCCTTCCTTCCTTCCTTCCTTCCTTCCTTCCTTCCTCCTTCCTTCCTCCCTCCCTCCCTCCCTCCCTCCCTCCCTCCCTTCCTTCCTTTCTTTCTTTCTGTATTTGCCTAAGTGCTTTGGCTAGGGCTGCCAATACTATGTTGAATAAAAGCAGCAAGAGTAGGTATCCTTGTCTTATTCCTGATCTTAGAGGAAAAACTTTCAGATTTTCATCGTTGATTATGAAACTAAATTGTATGTTAACTAAAGGAGAAATGTATCAGTCATTAATAAGATATTAGATGACATTAAGGAATTCTTGTTAATTTTGTTAGGTCTGATAATGATATACTCTTATGTATTAAAAGAGCGAGCAGGGCACCTGGGTGGCTCAGTAAGTTAAGCGTCTGCCTTCAGCTCAGGTCATGATCCCAGGGTCCTGGGATGTAGCCCCACATCAGGCTCCCTGCTCAGCGGGGATCTGCTTCTCCCTCTCCCTCCACCCCTTCTCTTGCCCACGCAATCTCTCTCTAAAATAAAATAAATCTTAAAATTCTCCAGAAAAAATTGTGCATAGGATATTATCTCAGAGTAAGAAAGTATGTAAGTGAAACAAGACTGGCAAAGTAACGATCATTACTAATGCTGGGGTATGGGCACATGGGAAATTCATTATATTCTCCTCTCTACTGATGAATTAGTTTGAAAATTTCCATAAAACAAAGTTTTTAAAAATTGAGTCTATCACACTGCATAAAGATTTCCTATTCATCTAAATAAGGAAGGCTTTTGGCGCGCCTGGGTGGCTCAGTCATTAAGCGTCTGCCTTCGGCTCAGGTCATGATCCCAGGGTCCTGGGATCGAGCCCTGCATCGGGCTCCCTGCTCTGCGGAAAGCCTGCTTCTCCCTCTCCCACTCCCCCTGCTTGTGTTCCCTCTCTCACTGTGTCTCTCTCTGTCAAATAAATAAATAAAATCTTAAAAAAAAAAAAGAAGGCTTTTTATACCCAATAAAAAATTAGTAAAATTTTCACTTACATGAAGTTGGACTTTTACCTAATTTCATATATACAAATTAACTCAAAATGGATCAAACACCTAGATTTTAAGAGCTAAAACTATAAAACTTAGAAGAAAACATATGGTAGAAACCTCACAATATTGTATTTGGCAATCATTTCTTGGATATGACACCAAAGGCACAAACAACAAAAGAAAAATCAAACAAATTGGACTCATCAAAATGAAAAACTTTTGGGCCACCTGGGGTTCAGTCGGTTATACATCTTACTCTTGATTTCAGCTCAGGTAATGATCTCAGGGTTGTGAGATGCAGCCCTCAGTCAGGCTCCATGGTAGGCCGTGGAGCCTGTTGAAGATCCTCTCTCCCTTTGCCCCTCCCCAGCCTCTGTCTCCCTCTCTAAAAAAAAAACCAAAACAAACAAAAAAACTTTTGTGCATCACAGGACATTATAAAGAGAGTAAAAAGACAACACAAAGAATGGCAGGAAATATTTGTGTATCACATATCTGATAAGGGATTAAGATCCAGAATATATAAAGAACTCTTAAAACTCAACAACAACAACAACAAAACAACCCATTTCGCAAAATGGGCAAAGGACTTGAATAGATATTTCTCCAAAGAAGATACACAAATGGCCAATGAGCACATGAAAATTGCTCAATATTGCAATTCATTGAGGAAATGCAAACTGAAACCATTATGAGATACCATTTCATACCCACTAGGATGGCTACTATCACAGAACCAGAAATAACAAATGTTGGTGAGGATATGCAGAAATCAAAACCCTTGTGCACTCTTCGTGGGAATGTAAAATGGTACAGCAACTATGCAAAACAGTTCTCATAAAATTAAAAATGGAATTACCATATGATCCAGCAATTCCACTTCCAGGTATATGCCCAAAAGAATTGAGAGCAAAGTCTTGAAGAGATATCTGTACACCCATATTCCTAGCAAAACATTCACAATAGGCAAAAAGTGGAAGTAACCCATGTGTTCTTTGAAAGATGAATGGATAAACAAAATGCAGTATATACACACAATAGATTATTATTCAGTCTTAAAATGAAGGAAATTCTGACACATGCTACAACATGGATGAACCTTGAAGACCTCACCTGATTTCAAAACATTATGAAGTGACAGTAATCAAGACAAATATATCAGCAGAACAACAGACAAATCAATGGAACCGAGTCCAAAATTATACCAACCCATATAAAGTCAATTGATTTTTGACAAAGATATCAAGGCAGTTTAATGGAGAAAGGAAAGTCTATTCAACAGTGGTGCTGGAACAAGTGGATATCAATATGAAAAAATTAAAAAAGAACCTTGACCCCTAATTCACACCAGACCAAAAATTAATTTCAGATCAACCATAGGTCTAATGTAAATACTAAAACTGAAGCCTCTTAAAGAAAATGTGGAAAAATTTCTTTATGACCTTGGGGTTAAGCAACAATTTCTTAGACTGAAGATAAAAGGCAGCCTTAACAGAATAAAAGTAATAAATAGGGTTTTATAAAAACTAAAACCTTCTATATACATATATCAAATCGTTCTGCTGTACACCTAAAACTAATACTATGTGAATTTTATTATAATTGAAAAAAAATTCTAACTTTTGCTTTCAGAAAAATACCATTTAAGCAAATTAAAAAACAAACCACAGAGTGGGAGGGAAGACTGATAACAGAACTGTATTACTTCCTGGTGGGAGTATAAAATGGTGCAACCGCTTTAGAAAATTCTTGGTGGTTACTTATACAGTTAACTATCCACCTATTCTTTGACACAGATTTTCCATCTCTACCTATCTATCCAAAATATTTAGAATTGTTGATTTGCTATTTAAAAAAAAAAGTGAAATTTTCTAGAATATTCTTTATATCATTTCATATAAAATGTAAAGGAGCCAAAATTTATGAAATTTCAAAATGCAACTGGCCAAGTTTTAAAAGAGAAAAAAATTGCTTTAAAGTATAGATGTGGAAAGGATCAGAAAGCAGGCTGGTTAAATGTGTTTGGGTCAGTTTATCTCTGGTACCATTTACAGGCTATCTTAATGCTCTATTCCGTTTCATTAAGATTTTCATTCATTTTGGGGTACCTGGGTGGCTCAGTCAGTTAAGCGTCTGCCTTCGGCTCAGGTCGTGATCCCAGAGTCTTGGGATTGAGCCCCGCATCAGGCTCCCTGCTCAGCGGGGAGCCTGCTTCTCCCTCTCCCACTCCCCCTGCTTGTGTTCCCTATCTCGCTATATCACTCTGTCAAATAAATAAAATCTTTAAAAAAAAAAAAAAAAAGGTTTTCATTCATTTCATAGTATACAAAATGATCATTTTTACTGTGAATTATTTTTACTGTTCCTTTAGACCAATACATATCACTGGCTTGTACAACTAAAATGCATACATGGTCAGGGGTGTCTGGGTGGCTCAGGTCATGATCCAAGGGTCCTGGGATTGAGCCCTGTATGAGTCTGCTTCTCCCTCTGCCCTTTCGCCTGCTAGTGCTCTCTCCCGCTCTCTCAAATAAATAAAATCTTTTAAAAAATGCATACATGTTCAAAGAAAATAATTAGTGAAAAATATTTAATTAAATAATATTTATCTCTATCAGGCCTTTAAAATTATGTTCAGAATCTCTGGGATATTAAGTAGTCTAATGATAGTATCTATTAAATCAGAGAGCTATATTTCTTCTCTCCGTGCCTTGTCCTGATGATGAAAAAAAGGCATCAGTGACATCTACTGTGCCAGACAATAAAAAGAATCCATAACTTTAAATAATATTGAACACTTTAAGAAAACTATGTATAGACCACAAGTTCTTTTGACTTTCTTTGAACTACTTATCCCTAACTAGGAAAATATTTTTAAAGGCAGCTCAACCAATGTTAACTTTTCTCAGAATAAAGTATAGAAATCTTACCAACAATATCAAGTTGAGTTTCTTCATCTTCTTCTCTTTTTCTCTTCTTCTCTTTGCTCTTTTTTTTCTTACTGCAGGAGATAATTTATATAGATGAGTTTATAAATATTGATTTGATGTTAAGTATCACAAGATGCAATCTTAGAAGAATCTTTTAAGCTGTACACAAATTTGTGAATTATTGATTTACAGTTTTCTACACTGATATACTCTCTTCTAATATTGAGAAGTCACTTCTGATCCTGTATGTATTGTGTTATAGTTAAGAGAACAGGTTCTGGAGCCAGACTGCTTTTTTAATCTTGCTATCTGTGACTTTTGGAAAATTTACTTAATCTCTGTCAGTTTCTCACCTGTAAAATGAGGATAATCATTTAACTACGCTCTTAAGGTTACTGTGAGGATTAAGAGATGACATGTACCTTCATGTGTTGCTGGTGAAAATGTAAAATGGCACAGCCATTTTAGAAAGTAGTTTGGGGTTCTTCAAAAAGCTAAACACAGGGTTACCATATGACCTAATAATTTACTCCTAGGCATATATCCAAGAGAAATGAAAACACACATCCACACAAAAATTTTATTAGAATATTCAAAGCAGCATTATCCATAATAACCAAAAAGTGGAAACAACCCAAATGTCCATCAGCTGATGAATGGAAAAACAAAATGGGGTATATCTATACAATGAAATATTATTTAGCCATAAAAATAAGAGTATCGATACATGCTACAACATGGATGAAGCCAGAAACAAAAGACCACATACTGTATGACTCCATTTACAGGAAACATTCAGAATAGGCAAACTGCTATAGACAGAAAGCATATTAGTGGTTGCCAGGGACTAGGGGAAGAGTGGAATGGAGAGTGGCTGCCAATGATTATGGGGTTTCCTTCTGAGATGATGAACATGTTTGGCAACTTGATAGTGGTGAGCTTTGTGAACACACGAAAACCCACAAAACTGTACTTTACAGGGTAAATTTTATGATATACGTATTATGTTTCAGTAATAAAAAATTCAGACAAGTTTCAGATTTATTCAGGATAACGTCTTTGTGATTCGGACCCGTAGGCAGAGCTCTCAAGGGCAGCGGCTTCAGCTTGCTCCTTAACGCTTTCTTCCATCTTTTTTTTTTTTTTAATATTTTTATTTATTTATTTATTTATTTGAGAGCGAGAATGAGAGAGAGAGAGAGAGCATGAGAGGGGGAGGTCAGAGGGAGAAGCAGACTCCCTGCCGAGCAGGGAGCCCGACGCGGGACTCGATCCCGGGACTCCAGGATCATGACCTGAGCCGAAGGCAGTCGCTCAACCGACTGAGCCACCCAGGCACCCCGGGATTTGTAATGTTTTTTTTTTTTTTTTAAGATTTTATTTATTTATTTGAGAGCGAGAATGAGAGAGAGAGAGAGAGCATGAGAGGGGGAGGATCAGCGGGAGAAGCAGACTCCCCGCCGAGCAGGGAGCCCGACGCGGGACTCGATCCCGGGACTCCAGGATCACGACCTGAGCCGAAGGCAGTCGCTTAACCAACTGAGCCACCCAGGCGCCCCCGCTTTCTTCCATCTTACCTAAAAGTTCCGAAAGCTATCACTGAGGCAGGCCGAAATGCTGAACATCTGTATGAATCATCAACTCTGAGCAAATCTATCAGTTAAAAGAGAGACGGAGATACGAGCGCGCAGATACCGTTTCCTAAAAACCTAGTAATCATAAATCGCCACTACAGCCTTCTCCTTGCGTCTGGCTCTCCTTCCTGTGCATGTTATCTCATTTAATCCTCATAAGCTTTTTCTAGTACCATTAATCTTTCCCAATGAATAAGTGGAAGCTCGAGGATATTAACGAACTTGCCACAAACTGCAGAACAAGTAACTGGTGGGAATCCAGATTTGAGCCCGTATCCCTACCAAAACCCACATCTGCATATTGTATTAAAAAAATAAGGATTTTTTTTTTTTACGGGGGAGGGAAACAATGGTGAAAATAAGTACCCCTAATAAAGGAAGTTACTGTTACGACCCATGGCATCATCAGACTAAGGCGGGCGCACCCTGCGGGGCTCTGGAGGGGGGCCTTACGAAGGGACCCAAACTTGCGGCTCCCGGGCTCCTGGTGTCGCTCTCCTGTCTCCTCCCTTTTGAAGGCGCGACAGTCAGGCGCGTCTCCAGCTCTTGCAGGTGCCCGGCAGTGAGGCGCAGCCAGGCCCAAGGCCGGGAGCCTGAAGAGCAGCTCTCTAAGGCTTCCCTGAGACTCTCTACCCGGGAGGGGCGGCGAAGACGCAGTGCTGTCAGAAAAGCGCCAGGCTCCAGCACAAACCTTGGCCTTACCTCTTAGCCTTGGTTCCCTTGAGCACCAGTTTGGTGGGCTTCACATACGAGTATTCGGCCATAGTTCCGGGGACACTCTGTATAAAGAGGTGAGAGCTGCCTAAGGGCAAAATGCCTCTACTGGAGAAGGAACTGGCCAGGGAGGCCCCAAAATATTCACACTGCAGCCTCCCGGAAAGCGCACGTAACCGCGGGAGTGGGCTTGACCCTACTGCGTCCCTAGCGTTTTTTCACCCGACTCTTGAATTCTACTTCCTGTGTACCGTCTGCGGCTACGGCAACTGCAGAGGGCCGCAATACGTCAGGGTTCTTTTGCTCTCGAGAACTGAACGTTCGGGCTTCCCTAAATGAGGAAACCTGGGGAGACGCGCCCCCTGGTGGACGCAGACGGCCTAATAGCTGTGGAGCCTTTTTTTTTTTAATTTTTATTTATTTTTTGACAGAGAGAGACAGCGAGAGAGGGAACACAAGCAGGGGGAGTGGGAGAGGGAGAAGCAGGCTTCCCTGCTGAGCAAGGAGCCCGATGCGGGGCTCGATCCCAGGACCCTGGGACCATGACCTGAGCCGAAGGCAGACGCTAAACGGCTGAGCCACCCAGGCGCCCCTGTGGAGCCATTCTTGGGGTATCTCCTGCTAGGTCTCAGGAGAAGGGCGACGATTTAATCAGCCCTCCCCGTTCTGCTAGCTGTGAGCTGGGCCTGACTACCCCGCGCGACCGAGTGTATTATCGGACCTCGGACGATTTACAAGGCCTTGCAATTCCGTAAACGCCTATTGTATTAACTAGAGAGACTTGAGTAACGTACAGGAAACAACTAGGGAGTAAAAGAAAATATAATTAAGTGCAGAAATTTGGGCCACAGATTTCACAAGCGCTGTAGGAATTTGGGTGGAGGTGGGGTGGGAGGTTGACGTTGACAACTAATGCAGGCAGAGAAGTCTGTGTAGGATGGGTCTTTACAGAGGCTTTCAGCCTCGGTCACTGAGTATTTCTGCTGCCTGCTCCAGTCTCTTCAACAGTTTCACAGTTCACTTCCCTGATGCCATTTCTCCCTCTTCCAAACCATCTCTGATAATGCTACCCGACGGATCTTTCTAGAGCAAGAGCCGATTATTCCCCTATCTAAAATCTATTAAACACAGCCTGTTACTTTCGGGAGGGAAAATCCCTCTTGACAAGGGAAAATCCCTCTTGAAAATCCCTAATAAACTCTTGACAGTCTGGCCTCTTTTCCCACCACTTAACCCCTGCCACCTTAGTTCCAGTCACACTAAGTGGCTGGGAATGTTTGAATGGTCTCTGCTTGCTTCTGCTGCCTGGAATGCTGCCCTTTCCTCTTTCCCACGCTCTTCACCTGGCACGGTTTTTCAACCTTTAAGACAAACTGGGGCATTATTTGCTTCTGGAATATTAATAAAGGGAGACCTCGCTAAAACGGAGAAAGGAGGAGAGAAGAGGAAGTTAGGAGGTGAAGCCTTACCACTCAACTTCAATTACAGGAAGAATTGTCAAATACAGACAACAGAAGAACCGTCAATTACAGACAACAGAAGAATCATCAGTAGGAAAGAATCATTAATTACAGGCCCCTGCAAGGGAAAGATGTATATTGTATCTCCTACAAGATACTCCTGCAAGATCTTCTACCCCTGCAGCTCAGCCCTTAGAAACCATCATTAGCTGGACTTTTTTCCCCCAATGGACTTTTGTTCAGAATAATCTCTCCCAGTTTCCTCCTTCTTCCATGCAAAATAATGTTCCTCTTCTTTGTTAGACTTGTCCATGGTTTTGCCATAGCTTGCATGTCCTGAATTGCAATTCTGTTATTCCCTAATAAACCCATTTTGCTAGTAAAATAACTGAAAGTTTTATTTTTCCGGGCTAACACTCCAAAACACCATCCCCAAGCATCCTGCATCTCTCATTCTGTAGCTAAGTGTTTGCTTTTTCAGGGCAGAAACATAAATAGCTTATTCATCTTTGTTTCACGTACACCCCATGCTGTACCTGCCTCAAAGTAGATCCTGCATAAATGTTTGTTAACATGTTAAGATTCTAAAGCCCGAAGTGTAGCTCTGGGATAACAAAGACAGTGGAGCATTTAGGAGTGTGGCTTGATTAGATAGGACGGTTTGTGGTAGAAAAATCGGAGGAAGAAAATTGGAGGGGTGTAGCATATCATGGAGGCCACTGGAGATCCATTCCTTATTTATTTGTTAACCATCTCTGCAAAGACACTGTGTGCTTGGTGATAAGATGGTGGCAGTAGTATGGACAAAGTCAAGGAGTTGGATGAGTGCTGGGCCTGTGAAAGGAGCAGTGAATGGCTCGGTTGGTTGGAGCGCAGGGCATGTAGAGTACAGTGGTGGGAACCAGGATTGAGAAAGCAAAGTGGGGTCATTTTGTGGCTGAAAAATTGGCATGAAATCAGGAACCAGTTGCGAGGGATTAAATTTCAGGGGGTGAAATGAACAGAGCGGTACTCCAGGATGGTTATTCTGCAGTACCCGCGTTGGTAGCGTCGCGTAAGCCCTGAGCCTTGGCTTTTCTTTTTGTAATGCAAATAACTGGCAAAAGATGGTTATCTCAAATAAACACATTGCCAAACACAAGACTAGATAAAGAGCCAGGCCACCTCCCACCCCACTGAGGCTCCTTTGTGATCTCGGTTGATTTCAATACCTGACCATTTGGGCCACTTGTCTTTTCTCTTCCTGAGCTTTAAATTCGCACTCTTATGTTTTAAATTCTCTAAGAGTGAGCCTATGAAACCCTAGGCCCTCACCCCTGGCTCCAATAAAAGCAGAACCCCCAGCCTGTGCACACTTGTGTGCTCACCATCCCCTGTCCTTCTGCCCCATATAACCTCGCTGTGTGGCCCCAGCCGTGCTGTGTATTTTCCAGGTCTTACACCTCCATTTTTTTCAAAGTTTCCCATTGTTGTTGTTGAAGGGCATCTTGCAATCATAATAGGAAGCACAATGGCCACTCCAAACACAACACTGGGTATCAGTATGCTAAACTGGCACAAAACCGTGTGGTGAGTTGTGTAAGTGATACCAAAACCCTCTTATTCAAGCCGCAACTCTTTACATAATGTAGAAAACGTGGAGGCCAGTTGGCTTCGGGAATCTTAGGAGACATTTTTAAACTCCTGATTCCTGGCGGCACCATAGAATCAGGATGGGCCCGTCTCAAAACTGACTCAGAAAACAAAACCACAGCAAATAATCTGGTGGGTTAGTATCCTTGTATACTAGTATCACATCTTTTCCAATATTTTCACACTACTTCCCTTTTTCTTATACCATAACAATCTGGGTCCATGCTGAGAAAAAATTCCCAGAGCCATGAACAAAAGAGATAGGATCAGAGGGTGCCCATGTTGGCTTTTGTAAGTGACATTTGGCAAAAACTCAATTTCCTCATCTCTTAAAATAGGGTTAGTAATAGTATCTCTGAGAGTTATGAGGATTAATGGTGTAATTCATGTAGAGTGGTTGCGATCCACAAGTAAGTGCTCAGTAGGTATCAGTTGTGACTATCACCAACCTTGTTATTATTATAGGTTATCATCACATTGGCAGGAATGTTGAAAGCAAGAGAATGGATGCGTGCTCTGAGGGAATGAATGTCGAGAGACCAGAAGAGCAGGAACTAAACCATAGAACCATATAGTAAGGGGGTAGAAAGAAAAAGTGAAGACACGAAGATAAAAGAGGAAGTCAATAACAGGGTTACAGTAAAATTACAGAAATCAAGTCTAAGTAGAAACTCCAGAAAGAGCAATATAATTTAATATTGAAGATGTTCAGAAGAACAGGATGGAAGGAAGGCCATTGAGTTAACCTACAGGTGACGTGTGGGGAAGCATTTTCAGCAGAGCAGTGTGGCGGGAAATTGGCTTGACGTAAAGAGTAGGTGGAGAAGAGGTAAGAGCAGCTTCCTATTGACTGTTTGGCTGCATGGGAAGCAAATAAGGGATGGTACATTCTGCATTTGTGGATTTCGTTCCTTCTTGCTCAGCCACTGTATATACACAGAGTTGTAGCACAAAGTTATAGAAAATAAAAATGAGACCAATTTCATTTGTAGAACCAAATCAATACCTTATGCTGAAATTAAGATAAATTCATGACTCTCCCTTCTATTCCCACCCTCCGTTTTTAAGTTAAACAGCTGATTTTCCTCTTCATTAGTTTCATTTCCAGATCCTCCCAGGTGTCAGTGGTTTTCAGGAGTTATGTAAGTCCTCTAGGTTCTTGATGAGTTGAGGAGGATGAGGAGGTGTGAACAAACACTGTTTTCAGCAAAGGGAGGATTTTGAAATTCTGTTCATGTGTTTTTTAGTAACCGTTCCAAGTTTTCAAGGTTATTCAATGACAGGGATCCTTGTGTGATTTTCCAAGCTTTACTGATAAGAACCACAGCAGATATTTGTTTAAGATACTGATTCGCAGGTCCCCCACATAGTGATTCTTATTCAGAAGATCATTGATGAGACCCAGGAATAGGTATTTTTGACAACTGTCAGAGTGATTCTTACAGCCAGGCAAATTTGGAAAACATTGACCTAGCTTTTATGTTTTCATTGCTAGTAGCTGAAGAAGGCTGTTCTCAAATTTCTAAAAATAAAATATTTTTTAAAGGAAAATTGTATGACTAGATAAAATATTTATACACATACTATATGTATGTACTGTATTATATACTTCTGTTATATTTATAATTAAAGATGGGTAAGAATACTCAGAAAAATTGTATATTAAATGAAAGGAGTGTGTAGGGGTAGAGATGAATGCAGCTTATTGCTACAAAAAAAAGAAAGTTAAAATGTTAGAAATCTAATGTTGCAAACAGCATTTTGTAAAGTGCAAGAGCTTCAAAATCATGCCTGAAATCTTTGATGTTCAGTTGTAAACGGTGACTTTGGACTAGATTTAGGGGAGAGACCAATTATGCTTTAAAGTGTTCTTGTAAAAGGCTTTAAATGAAAGAAAATCCTTACATGTGGTTGCAGCAATTTAAATTGAAGGCTTTTAACAAATTACTAACCCTTCTTCTCTTAAAAACTGTCTTTCATTTGAAATGAAAATTTAAGTTGTTATTTATGCTCTATTAGCATCCTTATGCAGAGACTCAACAGCATGTTTTACATTTCCAAATTTTTATTTCTTGATTTTGCTGGAAGGAATATACTACTTCACTGATTTTTTAAAAGCAAAGTAAAACAATTTATTTTGACAAGGGCAGACGGTACTTTCTTCGTT